TAATAAAAAGACTGTATATTTTATTTTTACATATGCATGGGCACCTTCACAGGAAAATGAAGACCCAAAGAAGCAATCAGAGCTGGATGCTTATGTCCTGGGTTGGACAAAGTATAGTAAACATTGAGGATGTGACAAGGCAAAGGGGTTTGGGCTAGGACAGTGAATTGTGGAAAAGTGACTAGAAAGATGAGCGTTAGTTTAACAAGTTCTTTTGCACAGATTTCTCTCAGCTTTGACTTCCCATCTCTGGTGATAAGAATGTCTTCTTTCCTCCTGATACAGAGAGGGCACCTTTCACTTGGGATTTTTATCTCCTCCTTTCAGGAAGAAAAAGGAAGGTCAAGGTGTCCTGATTGATCTGCTATTTTTAAGGTGCCTTTAATTCACTCAAAATAACCAATATTCCAAGGGGGCATATTTTGGGATGACACGCTCTGAACCCCTGCATTTTGTTGCTGTTAAGTCTGAATGTGTAGTAGAAATTATGTGGTGTTATATGCTTATAATTCCCTACCTTCTTGATGCTAGAGACAGTTGATTATTCCAATCAGGGAAACCTTAAAATAGAGAAATGTTAGTGGGACATGTATTAGAGACAGAATGAGTCTCCATGACTGATGAGTTATGCTATCACTTTTGTTGAAAAGGAGCCTCTGGAAGTTCTGGTGATGGTGATATAAGAAGATACAGTTTCAGATTATTAAGTAAAATCAAGGTTTTACTTTTTTAACCTTTGTTATGAAAATATTCTTTCTCACAGTTGTTTAGAATTTAGATGTTCAGTCGAAAGTAATCCCCAGTCATTCACAACTCTTAAGGCTGAAGAAACTTTAATTATTATTGTTTCCAGAGCATTAATATGTCATATTGGGCTTCCCTGGTGGCGCAGTGGTTAAGAATCCGCCTGCCAGTGCAGGGGACACGGGTTCGAGCCCTGGTCCAGGAAGATCCCACATGCCGCGGAGCAACTAAGCCCATGTGCCACAGCTACTGAGCCTGCATTCTAGAGCCCGCGAGCCACAACTACTGAGCCCATGCATCTAGAGCCCGTGCTCTACAACAAGAGAAGCCACCACAGTGAGAAGCCCACCCACTGCAACAGAGTAGCCCCTGCTCGCCGCAACTAGAGAAAGCCGGCGCCCAGCAATGAAGACCCAACGCAGCCAAAAATAAATTAATTTATAAAAAAATGTCTTATTAAAAATTGTTTTTGGATATTTATTCTGAAAGATAAATTTTACTTTTATTTGATTCATTAGATAAGATGCCCTCCATTTATAATTAACAGCTAAAGAATTTCTGCAAAGAATGAATACACATTTTAATAAGCATATGTTATTTTCTTGGACCTTTTAAGTTGGTGGGATTGATTTTATCCAAAACTGCATAACCCAATTGACAAAGAATATTATAGGATTGTAGTACATTTGAGAGGAAGGAAATTTCAAATCATAGATATGAAATGGAAAGTTAAGTAAATATGTTCAAGTCTACCTAACTCCCACGGACAACATTTTCATGTCGTGTGTTTTATAATGTCATATCTAATCAATGAATCAATGGACTTCACAGAGATGCTACGACCAATAAAATACTTAAGAAAAACTTACCTTTAAAGAAACAGATTTCTTTCTTCGCCAGTTTGGAGAGCTTCGTAATAAGATACCCAAGGATGTGGGATATAGTCCATTTGGCTTCATAATTCTGTGAAGACACAGAGGTTTATTTGCTATTTATATTTTTCCCTTCTATGGCTTGCTACAAAAATTATTCACAATTTAATCCCCATTTCTCCTTTCTGGAAACTCTCATTTATACTGTATTCTGTTACATTCAAAGTAGTGTTAGAATAATTATGTTGTACTCTGTTAGGTAATAAAGATAAAATTTGCTCTCAGAATTGTATGATTTTTGCTTGGTTTTTGCTGTTAACACTCTGTTCCTATAACTATACATTATTCAAGTTAGTTTTTTCTAATGCTAGAAATTTCTTCATTTCACAACAATGCTATTATTATGAGGAATGGTATTAGGGATGATTAGTTCTATTTTTCAACAGTGAAATTCCTATACAACCGTGGAAAGTGGAAACCCAAGCAAATGTAGCTGAACATATGAATATTTGTGATTACCTTACCTATTCATGCAAAAAATAAATATATATTGAACACTGACTAGGAGCCAGGCATTGTTTTACATACTGGCAATACAGATGTAGATAGAGCAGACATAAAACTATTTTTGTTAAGAAGCTTACACTCTAGTGGGAAGAGCCAGAGAATAAATAAAATATGTAAGTAAAATATGAAATATATTAAAGGGTGATAAGTCTATGGAGAAAGATCAAGTAGGGGAAGAGAGTGGAGAAGAGGAGGGTGTTTGGTTATTTGACTAATGGCTGTGTCTCCCAGGAGCGTGCAGACTACCTGAAAACAGGGACTCTGTCTCATGTTGCTAGTCACCATATCACAGCATTTATCATATGTGGCACTTACCAAGTGCTGAACAAATGGATGGGTAAACTTGGTGTTGAATGAGTCCTCCCCTTATCCTGATCTACTCTTTCTTTTCCACACTACTTTATATAGTATATAATTTATTTATATAGTATATAATTTATTTATTTATGTTTATTACTTATTGTTTGCATCACTTGGCTAGAATGTCACCTGCACAAGGAATAAGAATTTTAAAAAGAATTTTTATTTTGTTCACTGATGGATTTCAAGCACCAAGAACATTGCCTGCCAAGCAGGCAGTAGGATTTAACAAACATTTGTAGAACAAATGAATTTTAATAAGTAATTTCGCTAAGAGGAAACAATGAAATTACTAACTTCTGACACAAGAATTTTGTTTGCTGCTTCTGGCAAGCCAGTTTATTCCTGCCAACAACACACATTCTGATGGCTACTGACAAATTCACAGTGTATGTACTCAAGAATCCCAGGAATAAAATGCTTAAGAAGCTAATCCTGATGCCAAATTCATGTACCTTGGAATATCAAATGTTACAATGTATTAACTATCTACTCATTCAGCTATCAAAGGGACAGTTTCTCCTCTATTCTTAAGATTCTTAAAAGGGAAAAGTATGTAAATACAGATGAAACAAGACTTGACAGCCATGGTGTGGATGTTTTTCACTGATTGAAAGGTACCACAGAGTTTTGTTTGTTTTGTCATTTGAATAAAATGATTTAGATTCTTTCCCATCCAAGACACATAAGCCACATCCACAATTTATTTTCTGACAAAGCTAGGGGGATACTTATATTTCATTCCAGGGGTTTCCTTTGGTGTCCTAATAAAAGGATCAGAGGTTTTAAAGTGGTGCTATTTACACTTGAAAAAGCCACGGGCAACTCTCAGGTTGCAAAAGAAATGCAACCTGAGAATCACAGTTCAGGAAAATGAACTGTGAATAAAGGCCCCACGTGAACATAGTTTTAATGGTTAAGGCATAAAAGTCAAGTGCAGAGTATTTTCCTCCCTGGACATCTTGAAACACCTAGTGATTTGTTGACAGCATTTTGGAAACATTTCTGTTCATTATTTATACATGACTATTGTATTAGATTTTAGTTTCTTAAGGGCAAGACACAGACTTCTCCTAAATCGCCTACCCAGAGTCATGGGGGGGAGGGCAGGTACTCTCCTAAAAATAGTAAATAACGTCCTTGAAGTCATTTCCAGGTAGAAAACTGTGGGCTAATTTATTTTCATTGAGAAAGTTATGGTCATTTACAGAGTATTTAAAATCACACCATATTACATAATATCTACTGGCCTCAAATGTGAGTTAATTTTCATGATCCTAATTTGTCTCTTTTCTCCTTTTTGTTTTGCTAGCGATTTCTAGAAGATTCTATGTCTACACTAAAAATTTCTGAGGTCTGTTCCATACTTTGCCTAGTCCTGTGTAATGTCCTATAGACAAGGGTTTTATGGTGAAATAAATTAGAAAACACTATATAAAAATTTCCTTCTGTTAGAGATTTACAAGGCAAGCTAAGATTTTAAAAACTGTAAGAAAGTCTACATAAATTGAACCCTTTAACCTTGTTTAACTCCACATATCCTGAACTCATTTTTCCTCAGAACTCTTTTTTAACGTAATAATAACTATCTTTTGAATTATAAGATACTATCTATTTTATGACACCTCATTAATTGATGTGCCACTGAGAGGAAAACACTGACAGTATGCCTTTGATTTTTAAGACCCATTTAAATATACAGTTGACAAAACACAAACTCAGGAAATAGTACTTAATCCTATATAATGAAACGGAGATATATATTCTAGAAATGAAATATTAAAATTTTTAAATATTAAATTATTTTTGTCCATTTTAGTAATTTTGGTAACAGTCTATCAATTCTTTTATAGATTTCCATGAACTGTGAGAAGCTATCCTCTGAATTCTGATATAAATGTATTTAATAGTATGCTGCCATACTGCCACGTACATTTCTTTAATCACAATTGTAACTTCACATATCACAGTTCTAGCCCTCTGTGATTTTTCGAGTGCAAACTATGAGACTTACAGGTAATATTAGGAGAGGGCACCTTAAAGAAAACTCCAGGGCCTATAGGAACCACATCAACCTGTCCTCACTGATCACCCATGATAAACTTCATTACAGATCACGTTCCTTTAATCCTCCTCATGGCATTTGCATGCGTGAGTTTCAAATTCGATTTTTAACAACGCCAGATAGGACCCATATATTCATTTCTCTGTATCTCCCCACCAAGTCCACTTTGTATAAGAGTAGGGTCATTACAAATCTTATTTATTAACAAGAGAACACTTTTCTCCATGCAGTGGCCAAGTGGAAATATCTCTTATTTGCAAAATTCATATTATATTACTATGGTTGTTAGCAAATCATACCTTCATTTGCCTATTTGCCTATTTGTAAAGATTTGTTAAAATGAATAATATAATTCTATATAGATGTTAAATCAGAAAAGCCACACAATCTGCTGGTGCTATAAAATGTCATTTTAATAATTAAGATACATAAATAAAGTGTTTATGACAGAAACAATAAAGTTGTCTCTCAATTCTGTACAAACGCTGAATTTCCAAGTAATTTGTAAGGAATATATTCATCTTATTACATTCAAAATAATGGTTGAACAATGATTATCATTTTTTTCTTTTTATATTCTATAAATTCACACACTATTAATTTATAGTATTACAGTGCTTGATAATCTTGATAATATGAAATAAAATTCTTCTAATGGTATGTAGAAAATAAAAATAAAATAATTAAAAGTCATCTGTATAACTATTTATGAAAACAAAATAATTAATATTTTTTCTGTAAAAATAAATTATGTACTTTATTCTGAAACATCATTCTATTAAAGTGTTTAGAGAATAGTTACATTCACGTTTTGGCAGTGTGCTCAAACTTTCTTATTTGCCATTCCCTTACGCATGATAAAGTGAGGTGCAAGCTGTTCACATGTGAGAAAAACAGCTTATTTTCACAGGAAAGGAAATGATATATGAAATAGAATTAATTAAAAAAACCCAAGTGCCCTATGATAGATATACAAAAATTCTCTAAGAAAAAAATGTTCTTCAAGGCCTTTGAGGTGATGCAACCTTTGACTACACTTCATCAAAGGTGGTTTTTAATCATGCTGCTCTGTAACTTCCATCAAAGTAGCATGTCCATCAATTGCAGGTTACAGTCCAATGTTATAATTTAAAGCATAGTGGTTGGTCAATTGACTGAAGCACAACAGCTGGACTCGTCACTGACCACCTTTTATAAACGAGCAAGAGAAACAAACATCTCCTTTCTGCTCTAAGCATGGCTTCCAAAAGTAGCACCTTTGTCACTGAGCACAAGCTTTCCAGGTGGCAGAAGTCTCTGGAGTAGCACAACATGAAAACAGCGAGGCTGATGGCAGGAATCCTACTGAGCCAAAAACATGCTGGTTCACCTAGAAAACTGGTGAAAGACTAAGTACTGATTTAAGTTTAACCAGACAGGAAAAAATTTGTACCTATCCACGAGGAACACCCAATCGGCAATTTGTAAACGAACCCACTTTCTGCTGTTTCTTCTTTGTCTTACTTTTCTTCTGCTTTTTCTCAGTCTTATTTTTGCGTAACTTCTGTTTCTTGTTTTCCTCTTTATACCATGGTCCCCAGACTCCTCCATTGAGCCGAGGGTTACTTCTGGGGTCTTTGGGGGGGTATCTGACAGGCACCGCGGTCTTGTTGAACTGTGAGAGCCTCCGGAGGAGCTGCTTCACAACTCCGGGATACCTGTTAGAAAGGTCCACTCTCTCATAGGGGTCGGCTGTGATGTTGAACAGCCATACACTTTTGCCAGTTGACAACGTAATCCGTTCGTTGTGCCACCGGTTTGGCCCTAGGTTGCTGAACGACTGAGGGGGCACCCAGTCACTGTACCCAGGGTTCCCTGTGAGCAGTTTCCAGTGCTGTACTCTGATGGCCGACTGGATGGCAGTGTTCCAGATCCCATAGCCTGCCGCCCAGGAGCCATTTTTCGCCTTGGTATAAATGGGGTCGATGTTGTGCAAAATATCTATTCGGGGAGAACGAAGGCCTTCACTTATGGTCTCCCAGATGTCATAGCCATCCAGTTGAATGTCCTCATCAATTTGTCCTTCAGCCAGTGAAATCAGAGTGGGATACCAGTCAGTGATGTGCACAAGCTCCTTACACACCGTTCCCTTGTTTTTCAGAAGTGGACTGTGCACGAAGCCAACAGCCCGGATCCCCCCTTCCCAGTAGGTTCCTTTGCTACCTCTGAGGGGCCAGTTACTTCCTCCTGCTGTGGGCTGGCCGCCGTTATCTGAAGAGTATATGATAATGCTGTTGTTATAGAAACCATATGTCTTTAGAGCCAGGGTCACATTGTTGATTGCTTCGTCTAAGCAGGAAAGCATGGCAGCATACCTGCGCCTATTTATGTTGATAATGGACCTGTAGTGTTCAAAATACCTGCCAGGGGCTTGCAGTGGAGAGTGCACAGCTTGGTAGGCAATATATAAAAATAGAGGCTTTCTGGGGTCACGAGAAGCTAAGATTTGCTGCACTCTCTGAGTGTACATCTGTGTGGAGTATATGCCATTGTCGTAGTCCCAGGCAGCATTGTCATTTTCGTACAAGTCATAGCCACACATCCCGGGACTGTCACATTTGTAGTGTGTATAGTAATCACCACTTCCCAAGAGGGAACCAAAAAAGGTATCAAATCCTCTCTTGGTGGGCATACATTCTTTTCTATAAAAACCCAAATGCCATTTTCCAACCATATGTGTTGAATATCCAACCTCTTTCAGCTTCTGAGGTAGGGTTGCATTGTCCAGAGGTAAGCAGTTGGGCTGTGTAGGTCTTATGATAGAATGCTGAAGTCCGGTATGTATCTGATACCTTGACAAAAGAGTAAAAATTGTGTCAGTGCAGGATAAAAGATAGATTCCACATAAAACAATGATTCTTAAATAATGTTTCTATGAAGAGAAATGTTACCCCAAATAAAATATGACCAATTCAGTTTTCTACTGTTGCTCAAAAGTCCTACCCTAATTAGCTACATGTTTAACATTTGAAATGCATTTAAATCAATACTTTTGAAACTAAGGTTTCACCACCTATCTCAAAATCTTTTTAAAGTTCTTATAACAGAATTAATCTGAATAAACTTTAATCTTTTAATTAATTACATGACATAACAAACTAACATGAGAAAGGAAAGTATATAAATTTCAGAGTGTTTGTAACCAAGCAGGATCCTGTGGAGCCTTCTCAGGATAGACCCCACCTCCCAGCCCCCTCCCACCATGCCATGTCCTCTGCCTGCTTCTTGTTCTCAGAAAAACTTTAGCCTCCTAGGCCTTCCCCAAGTTCCAAAGAATAAATTTAATCAGAGAAGTGAGAAAATGTAGAAACAAAGGAAAACAGTCAAGCAAGACAAAATAGTAATAGTTTAGCCATTAAACAAAGTCAAGGACATTTAGTTCCTCCTCAAGGGCTAGAGATAATATTCTGAGCCATATCTTTGAACTATTTTGTCGATTCTGAAACCCCCACCAGGTGGGAGAAGTTAACTGAATGCTGCCCACAAGCACATAGACTCCAGGCTGGTTGGAACCAGAAGGTTGGAGATGTTGACTCCTGGTTACCTCACCACCAACCAATCAGAAGAATGTCTATGAGCTGATCACACACCCCATAACCGTCTCCCTCACTGTGTCTTTAAAAACCTTTCCCTGAAAGCCATTTCAGGGTCTTTTGAGCACTAGCTGCCTAGACTCCTTGCTTGGGGACTGCAATAAATGCTGCACTTTCCTTCACCACAACCCGGTGGCAGTAGACTGGCTTTACTGGGCACTGCGCACAGGTGAGTGGACTCAAGTTTGCTTTGGTAACACGCTGTTGTTATTGTTGTTGTTGTTTTTGGTCTAAGGACCTCACATTAGTTCCTAAATCATTTTCTGAAATAATTTCCAGCTGAGTAGGAAGAACTAAACATTCATGCAAAAATTATACAAAAATCTCCTGTTTGATTGTCAAAACCTGTTAAATCTCTGTAACGAGAAAGAAAATATTTCTGACTCACAATACACTATTGTTGAAAAGCCATTTTAGGTAAATCTTTTAGCTAATGCTACAGAAGAATTACATTTTTCCAAAAACAGCAGGAAATGAATCCTTTCATATGTTTCCCACAGTGTCTCCTTTTTAAGAAAATTATATTCACTTACAATGTAGTCTAAGAAAACAAGGTAACTCTTTCTATACATTAAAATTAAGCAGTTGTTAATTTCTGGTATTGTTCTCTTCCCAAGGATATTTTGCCAAGGGACTTTTTTCCAGAGAATGGTATGAATTTTCAATTGGGTCAAGATGTACCCATTAGTTCATGCCATTTTAAAAGTGATTAATATCTATAGTTATTACATAAGTTTAAAAAGACTTTTTAAATAGGAACTATAGAGATTCTGAGAAAATGAAGTTTTTAGAGAGCGTTAGTGTAAAAGTAAAAATATTCTTGGAATCAAATTACAAAGAGTAATATTGAGATCAAAAAGAATTTTTTTTTCCAAATCGATTGAACCTGAAAGGTCAACGTATCACACATGTCTTTGGTGAATAGTTCAATGTATTTTCAAATGTTCAAATGATAGTATAATGCAACTGTGAGTTCTTTCAAAGTGTCAAGAGCAGTAACAGGCTGATGGTTTCATAGAAGTTGTAGGGATGTCCGGTCACTAACACAAGACAGCATTCATATGGGTCCTGTCTACACAGCTGATCATTTAGCTGTCAAAGTTCACAATTAACACACTTGTGGTAATTTAAGTAATAAATTGCCAAAGAAATAAGCTTTTCATATGTATTATTTAGCACTAAATTCATAAAGTGTTATTGCTCTTGATAATTATTGATTCAGTTCAGGATCATTCACTTCTGAAACCACTAATTTTTGTATAAGCACATGACAAATTGGTAACGCCTATCAATATAAACATTGAGGATATTTAAAAAGGAGAAATCTGTATGATGTAAGAATTTGAGGGAGAATTTGTGGGCATGGGTTACTAACTAATTACCTTATGCAGAAAATGTACTTGGCCAGAAATCTATTCAAGTAATTGAACAGGTAACCAACTAAAGTCTTTCTAATTAAATTGGGCATTTTTGCACCTAGTACTAAAGGCAAAGGGAATTGAGGCTTTTGAAATTGTAAAACAGAGAAAGTGTTCATACAAAAAGAGTACGAAAGAAGAGGGCTGCTGCTTTCAGAAGATGGTACAGTGTTAGCAGATAAATAAGAGAGTTCAGCGCTATTAATCAGCTATGTGGTTTCTGTCTTCTCCAGAATAGAATGGTTTTCATATTGCAAAATTTAGAATCAACAATATAAAGGTTGGCAGCAGTTCCTAACAGAAGAGAGCTTTTCAGGGCAGCTCCTGCTTAAATGAGTTCAACCCTGTAGGGCCAAATAGGAGGGAGTATGAGGTAAAATTGGAGGCAAGGGTTAAGGGTATAGGTTTTGGGGCCAGACATAACTGGGTTTGAATTTGCTCGACTGCGAATTAGCTGTGTGACTTTGGGCAGTACTTATCCCCTCTGATCCTCAGCTTCCTCATTTGTAAAATAGGGATAATAATACATATTGGGTTGTTGTAGCATCAAAAGAGAGCACAGAGTCTGGTAAGGAGAGTACATTCAGTAAATGATAGCTTTTATTATTATTATCCCAGAGTTCTGAATCATATGTTACTAACATATTTCTTTAAAGTTTTATAATTTATAGGCCTTATTTCACATGCATTATTGCATTTAGTCCTCATTACAACAGTGAGAAGTAGGATTCTTTACGTTCATTTTATAGATGGAAGATAGAGACATAGAGATGTCCCCCAACTCCCCAACCTGCCCCCAGGCTGTGAAACATGTTCCTGAACAACAAGGGCTAAGCCTGATGCTTTCTCTAGTCTCTTTAAGAGTTAATTCCACTACTTCTTGAAAAATCAAGGAGCAGAGGAAAGATGCCACGTCAGTCTTGAGAAGTGAATCTGTTCTAACTTTCTAATTAAAGATAGGAAGAATTTATAAACCAAATAGTGAGGCTTATGCTGACCTCCCCAAATTTTGAGAACTTTTTAAGTAGATAATTTGTGAGCATTAAACAAACAAACAAATTAGGTAGGATCAAAAGAAAAGTCCTGCCAAGTTAGCTTCATTTTCTTTTTTAAAAAAGGATCAGAATTAGGAAAATAGCTTAGGAAAATGATAGGCATTTGAAAAGGCTGCCCATGATTCTTTTCTTATAAAATAACAGAAAATCAACTGTATGACAGCACTATATATTTGTGATAAGAATGATAATCTTACACTTTAATACCAGTTAATTGCATACAGAAACTTTTCATTTACATGATATTCTCTGGCTTCTACAACAGTGTGGAGCAGGCAGGCGGGCTCCATTTATTAGTTCCATCTAACAACAACAATAACAACAATAAAAGGACACTGAAACTCAGAGTAATTTAGTGGCTTTCCCAAGTTTTACAGCTGTAAGTCTTGGGTTCTATACTGGAATCCAGATTTTTGGCTTTGGAGACTCACATTGTACACTCACAGCTAACTGAACAGTTAGACCCATGTAAAGTTTGGGTTAATTTATTTGCATTAATCTTCAGTATTTATTCATTTCCGTAGTTAAGTTATATTACTGAGTTTATAACATGTGCTAAGAATTAAGTTTTTGTTTTGTTCTGTTTCTCCCCCTGCCCCCAGAGCTGTTATATTACAAAGTGGGTTGTAAGTAAAGATCCTACTGGCAATGAGGGTGACATGAAGCTAAGAGTTCTCTGAACCCTGGGATCAGACGGAGATGGTGCTGTCAGTCATGAAGAGCAGCATGCTAAAAATGCTAAGAAAATTTTTTCTTTCAGGAAGGAGATGGTTGGGCTCTAGGGAAGATCTTGATAGAGTTTTTGGCTTGTCAGTGACATTGACTTGGCAGCAGCAACTAGCTGGAAGACTAATCAGATAATTCTTCAAAATAAACTAAAAAATAGTATATTAATTAATATTAATTGATTAACTGGTTGAGAATCCCCGATCTGGAAAGAAGTTTCTGGAGCAGCACAACTGGGCCCTTTCTTTGGCTTCAACTCATTGATTATTATTATCCACGACTTGAATAAAGAAATAGAAGACATGATTATTATGTAAGAGGAATAGTTAAAAGCGGCATAATGAAGATTCAAAGTAATCTAAATGACCTGAAATGTTGTTGAAACAGATGGTAAAATGTACATAGAAAGTTAAAGAAGGGCTTAAAGACTGAAAGGGAATATGTCAAAAAGATGTAGAAACCTGAATTAAGGGGCTCTTAACTGGCCAAATCTGGGACAAGGCAAGCATCAAAATAAACAGTAATAAATTACACCCGCTGAATAAAATAGGAGACCCTGAGTCCATACTAATATAAGTAAATAAGTAAATGGGAAAAGTTTGGTATGCAATGGGATATTGATAGAGTCTCAAAGTACCTCCCCACAAAACACTTATTAATTATATATATGGAAAAGAGTAACCACACACTGGAAGTGCTTGATAAACACCATATTAATCAAGTGATCAAAGTTAACATCATCAGTAATCAGGATAAATCGATATCATGTGCCACCAGATAGGATGCAATGAGAATATAGCATTGTTTCTACAGTGTTCCACCCTAAGGTACACAATCTGAATCTAATTCTCAGTAAATATCAGGCAAAACTAAACTGAGGGACATTCTACAAAATAACTGACCTAAAATCTTCAGAAGTATCAAGGTTATATAAGTCAAAGAAGGACTGAGGAACTCTTCCAATTTGAAAGAGACTAAGGAGACATGAATAAATGTAATA